AGGTAGAATCATAGAATCATAGAGTTGGAAGAGACCACAAGGGCCATCGAGTCCAACCCCCTGCCAAGCAGGAAACACCATCAGAGCACTCCTGACATATGGTTGTCAAGCCTCTGCTTAAAGACCTCCAAAGAAGGAGACTCCACCACACTCCTTGGCAGCAAATTCCACTGTCAAACAGCTCTTACTGTCAGGAAGTTCTTCCTAATATTTAGGTGGAATCTTCTTTCCACAAAGGTAGACATGCTTGTGCCTGAAATCGTGGTGGTGATCCACTGCCAGCCAGCGTTGGAAATACTGTTGTGGGTGCCCTGACGCCTCTGTGTCTCTGGGCGACTTCAGCCCCCTCTAGATACCTGGGGTTTAATCAGTTGGTTAGAGCGGGGTGCTGATAATGCCATGGTTGCAGGTTTGATCCCAACGGCATATTATATGATTCTAAAGTATGCTAACGGGCGCTGGACTTAACAGTGCGAAAAGGCAGGCTACACTTCTTTTCCAGGGCATCGCCTGGGGGCGGGGGGGGGGGGATACTTAGGGAGAACCAAGCTCCTGATAGCCAGCCATCAACACATCAAAGGAAGATCCTTGGCATCTGAGCAAAGAGGGTGTGGCCAAGGTTAAGGTGGGTGTGACGTCACACAGGAAAAAAGGTGCCTTTTGAAAACAGAGATTTAGAGGAAGGGGGTGAGTGGAGCTTCTTGGTGGAATAGCGAGACAGAAAGGGAGGGAAGTGAGGGGCAGATGGGGTTCATCAACCTGGGAAGGTGGCCCATCTAGGAGATGGAAACCCTGCTAGATGGGCGGGGTATAAATAAATAAATGATGATGATCCTAAACCTCTGCTGCCTTGTGGCTATACAGTGGTACCTTGGGTTACATACGCTTCAGGTTACATACGCTTCAGGTTACAGACTCCGCTAACCCAGAAATAGTGCTTCAGGTTAAGAACGTTGCTTCAGAATGAGAACAGGATGTGCTCCGGCGGCACAGCGGCAGCAGGACACCCCATAAGCTAAAGTGGTGCTTCAGGTTAAGAACAGTTTCATGTTAAGAACAGACCTCTGGAACGAATTAAGTACTTAACCCGAGGTACCACTGTACTCACAGAACCACAGAATTGTACAGTTGGCTGTGACCCATCTAGTTCAACCCCTGCAATGCAGGGATATGCAGGTGGCCCGTATAGGGATCGAACCCATAACCTTGGCATTATCAGCACCACACTCTAACCAACTGAGCTATCATCCATGAGAAAGGCTTTGGGAGTAAACCCCAGGGAGCGGGGGGAATCCATACCTGCTGCCTTGCAGGACATCTTTGTGAGAAGATGGCACCCTAAGGTGGTCAGATGGTACCTTGTACGCCTCCTTCCAGCAACTCCTGCAGCCAAGCTGATGCCAAATGTATTGCTTGCCTTTCCTTTGGACCACACTGGCGAGGCCAAGACGGGAGCCTTGTTGCATCAGGGGAGGGTGGCGGACTTAGGACACATGCATTTTCACATGGTTTCCATGGCCTGCATTCATTTTACGTCAGTTATTCCTAGCTTCGTATCTCTGAGCCCCTTTGGTGGGGTGGGGAGGGGACACCCCCTCCCCCTCTGCAGCACTCAAACGAATGCTTTCATAGCAGACATTTGTCTAAACAACAAAGGACCAGTCTTTGCAAGCACTCATTCTGCACTAGGATCAGCCGAGCAAGTGAAAAGCGATGCAAAGCAGTATGAAAGGGATTTATGGCCCCATTCTAAAAAGAGGTGGGGTGGGTGTGAGTGTGTGGTGTTTTTTGCTGTGTTTTTTTTTTTAATGGAAGCTTTTTCTTTCCTTTTTTTCGGTGGAATGCCTCACTTCCATCCCTCAACACAGTGGCACTCAAAACAATGCTATTGATGTTGACCAACAGAAATCCAACCAACCAACAATAATAAACTGGGTAATACTCAATTGTAGCTCCCATCAGTCAGACTAAGGGATTTACAACTACAGGGATTTAAATGTTAAAGCCTTGGCAGCTTTCCCACGGTGACAGGCTACACTGTGTAACAAGAGCTGATGTGAAAATGGCTCAATCAGGTTCCTTGCAGGGGCCCGGCTCCCGTGCCTCCAGCAATCACCTTCCGATTCTCCAGCCGCCCAGCCCCCGGCTGCCCGAATGTCTCCTAATCCCTTAAGCAACCTCACCCTTTCTCTCTTTCTGCCCTCAACACCTGGAGCAGCCTTCCTGAATCCCCGTGCAATGTTGTTGTTGTTGTTGTTGATGCTGCTGCTGTTATTCGTCTAGATACCGCTTCATTGCCAAGGTGGCCTCGAAGATGTTTGCAAGTACAGAACCAATTTAAAAACACAGAAACATTCGTAAATAAAACGTAGAAGGAAACACGCCCCATAAAGCAGCAGAACAACAAAAAAATAGTTAAAACAGTAAGTAAAAGGAAGTTCGGGACAGGAGATTGCGGGATGCTGATCTAAACAGGTGTCCTGGCAAGCCGGCGGAATGCCAATACTGATGAGAGCATTCTATAACACTGGTGCCACCAGGGAAAAATACCACCTCTGTGTTACCACAGGCCAAGAATCATCAGCTTAGTCCTCACACCTAGGATGTGTGGCCCTCCCAAGGGCCATAAAGTGACGCCTTGAGGGCCACAAATAGTCTCCTGGCCTAAGTTACTCATCCATGAACATGTGGGGTGCAAGCCTCAGTGAGGTGGCAGACTCAGAGAGAAGGTGGTCCATAGAAGGTTCCAGAAGGCAGTGGAAACCCTCTCCACCTCTTACAGTGACACACCACCACATTTCCAAGAGTACTGGGAGGAAAACCACCTCTCCTGGCCCACTCTAATGACCATGGGAGGTTGGCAGGCTGTGTGTTTGCTCACTTGAGCAAAACAAAAGCCTGGGAGATGGCTACGTGCAGGATTCCCATTTGCAAATAGACCCACGGAGAGGAGAGAATGGCCCAATTACTGTTCAGCTAACCTGAAAGAAGAAAGAGGAGTTGCTCTTTTCTTTCTTTCTTTTTAAATAGTCTGCCTGAGAGAGTGGCCAGTCATGCTACGAGTGTAGGTGCTGCTTCGGGTGAAACAGTTCGGAAGCGGCTCATTTCCCCATCCTTCCTCAAGAGAAAGCTGGTTTCCACACACACACATTATCTACCACGGGAGTGGGCAGCCTTTTTCAGACTTAGGGCCACATTTCCTTATGGGTAGCCTTCTTGAGGCCACAACAGGCCATTTTTGTGTGCCGCCGCACCACAGAGAGCATTTCCTGTCTGAAGAAAGGCAAGTGCCACTATCATAACACCAACAGGACGCAGCACTGGTGGGGCAAATAGGGACATTCTGGGGTCAAATCAGAAGCCAGGATGTATTTTGTAATTCCAGGACTGTCACTAGGAAATCGGGACTCTTGGAAGGTATGCAGAAAAAGCCAACTTCTGGTATACTTTTAACAATGTCTGACGCACACCCCAGTTTTGATTCTGGCTTGCATTGCTGCAATCTTAGTTCAATCCATTTCATCTGTGGCAGCAAAGCGGCATATAAGTATCATCATCACGACTCTCTAATTTATATACCGCTTAATGCCAAAATAGATTCTGTTTTAGAGGTATTTTTAGAATAAAACATTGTGTTGCGTCTTCAAATCCCCGTTTCTAGAGTTGCCATATTTCAACTTTTGGGGCAAAGTTATTGAGCTTTTTCTTGCTATATCTCCCTCAAAAAATGAAGCTTTTTAGCTGTTATTTAGGAAATTAAAAAAAAAAATTAACTTCCATACGCTGGGGTTTTCCTGGACATTTTTGCAGATTTCCAAAAATCCCGGCTATGTCCTGGAAATTCCGGACGTATGGCAGCCCTACCGTTTCCTGCCATTATGTTCATTTGACCTCTCAACCCAAAGCACCTCACAAAGTTTGCCAGAGGGTAATCAAAGGGGATTTCAAAGGGTTAAAAGGGCTGTTTAGAAAAAAAACCCCAATAAAACAACACAACTCCAGCACTTTTCTGACACACGGACAGTTCACACTTCTGCTTCACAGACCAACTGAAAAGGACCTTACTTCATTTCCTCTAGCAGACCTCCATACACTATTTCTTTTATATATATGTGTGTGTGTGTGTGTGTGTGTGTATTAAAAAAAAAACTACCCCCAAACTCAACCCCTTATATTCTGAAGGGTCATTTAAAGACAGAGTTTTCTCCCTGGTTCTTGCTTTTCACACATACAGCAATTAAACCGTCATTCTCTAGGGTTGCCTTTTACTCCTGAAGCACAATCACAAACATAATGATTTACAGAGGCAATAATCACCAAGCTGGCCTCATTACATGCCAAACTTCTTAAAATTAGGTGATAAACATTACTCATTAACTTCCCTGCATTCCCCGGTCTGTTACGACTGCACTAACATTTTGGTTAACAGTCCCAAACCCCAAATGGGGAACTGAAGACCAATTTCTGAGCCTGGCTTGCTTGTGTTCTAGAAAGCTATTTGGATCCAAGGAGATTCTGTTCACTCTCCGGTGGGCTTGATGGATTTAAATCATATCAGTATTCATTTACCCTTTACAAGTATTCTGGGAAGAAAATGCAAAAGAGATGTGTTGGCCCATTAAGAAAAGTAACTGGAGTTTTCTTGTATGAAGTGGGAGAAGGCGAGAGATCCCAAAATTTGGGGAAAGGGTATTTGTTGCATCCATATTCCACTTTTCCTTTAAAAAGCTCAAGGCAACCTTTTTTATACAGTCATACCTTGGATCTCAAACGCCTTGGCTCCCGAACAAATTGGCTCCCAAATGATCAAAACTCAGAAGTGAGTGTTCCAGTTTTCAAATGATTTTTGGAAGCCAAATATCCAGTGCTCCTGCAGCCAATCAGAAGCCAAGCCTTGGTTGTCGAACGGTTCCGGGAGTCGAACGGACTCCCGGAATGCATTCTGTTCAAGAAACAAGGCACGACTTTACTTGCAACAATTCCGTGAGGGAGGGAGGTCAGTCCATCAGCAGTGGGTCAGTGCATCTGGCTGTTAACCAGAAGGCTGGTGGTTCGAGTCTACCCAAGGACAGCTGTAGACAGGATTTCTGATTCTGTGATCTGTATGTGTGACCCAGCTCTTGATGAATGGCAGTTGAAAGTGTCAGCTCAATCTACTGAAAAGGGCTACAGATGAGAACTGGGTGAGTCATTACTCTTGCTAATCCGATAGGTGCTAAATTTTCCTTGGTTTAACATGTACTCATGTCCAGGAATTCTTTAGTACAGACCAGCCCAAAGCTGATGCCAAAAGCTATCCAGAGTCAGTGCAATGATGTAGCTCAGGAAAGCAGAAAGCTCGACAGGAAGCAAACCAGGATCCCTCTACGAGGTGTGTCTATTTTGTTTTGCAAGTCACTAGGATAAAGTTTGGCAACTGAAAGGTCAGGCTGAACTCTCAAAGGGAAGAACTGGGTCTGAAGGCAACAGACTGCCCACCCCTAACCTATGAATGGGGTGGTGGTTGTTTTTTTCAAAAAAAAGCACAGAAACCATAGTACAGGTGACTAAGAAGCAGAACTCTTGTCTTATTATCCAATTTCATCTCAATAAAACAAATGATTCATTCGCTGTTGGGAAAGAAAATTTATTACCACAGTAGGGTTAATTATAGCCCTGCTAACATTATGGCTCTGCACATAGAACTCATCACATTTTCTCATTCAAAGTGCTAAAAGCCATAAATCTCTCGCCCCATAGGCTCCCACTGAAACATTCCTATCCAGAGGCACACACTTTTGAGTCTGTACATACTGGTTGGGTTGCTTGGGTGATTCAACGAGCGCATTTTCTTTGAATGCTGATTCATTGAAATCTAGGTCATAAATGTGTAACATTGCAAACTTTGATTTGATTTATTGACGCACCTACAACGCTCCCACCCCCGTGGCTGAGGAATAACATGGCATGAATTGCATGGGAGAATCTGCAGAGTACTGATCCTGTCTTAGGACTTGGGATTCTTCTGCTTGTTAATGTAAGAACTGCTGTGCTGATCAAAAGTCCAACATTCTCTTCCTAATGAGAGAAGGCCGCAAGTGCAGGAGATGGTACCAGATTTCTTCTTTTGTTATTAAAGGTAAAGGTAAAAGGACCCCTGACCATTAGGTCCAGTCGTGACTGACTCTGGGGTTGCAGTGCTCATCTCGCTTTATTGGCCGAGGGAGCCGGCGTACAGCTTCCAGGTCATGTGACCAGCATGACTTTCTGGCGAACCAGAGCAGTGCACGGAAATGCCGTTTACCTTCCCGCCGACGCGGTATCTATTTATCTACTTGCACTTTGACATGCTTTTGAACTGCTAGGTTGGCGGGAGCAGGGACCGAGCAACGGGAGCTCACCCCGTCGTGGGGATTCAAATCGCCGACCTTCTGATCGGCAAGCCCTAGGCTCCGTGGTTTAGCCCACAGCGCCACCCACGTCCCTCTTTTGTTATTACTCAGAAGCAATGCAGCTACTGGACATTACGTAACAGCCACTGACGGAGCCGTCTTTCCCATTGGTCTTAGTGGTTCATTGTGCCAGGGCGCCGGCCTCTCAGGGGCGCCCTAGTGAGTGGGGGAACTGCGCGGCTTGGCCGGCAGCCTCCCCTTTCCCTGCATGTCCACCAGGTGCGCCCCACCAACTATATGTCTGGCGGGCATGCAGCTTCCTTCCCAAGCCTCCGCAGGAGGAGAGCGATCCCCACAGAGGCTTGGGAGGGGCCTCTGCATCTGCTAAAGATGGCCCTGCTCCTGGTCGTTGTCCTCCTGCTGCTACCTGGCGAAAGGGGGCACGCAGGCTTCCCGGGTTGCCTTCTTGGGCGCCCCGACACCGGAGAGCATGTCCGCCATCATGTTTTCCTGCTTGATCGCCACGGCCACGTCGGGGATCAGGGCGGTGGGGGAGGCAGAGGACATTTTCCACTGCCCCCTCCCTTGTTTTGGAGTTGCCGGGGGGGGGCGCCGGATATGCTTAAGACGGCCCTGGCCACTGACAGACCTGTTGTGTACGACATTAGCTCCTTCTTTCTGTTTTCAAAAGCCAATAGCATTAGTTGTCAGCGCTCTCTAGCCGAGTTCACCCGTAGACACTGCGATAATCCTGACCTACCTACCTCCCAGGGGTGCTGTTCGAAATAATGTATACAGAGCTCTCCAAAGTGATACAGCAGTGCTAAATATACAAAAAGCAAGTGTTACTTGCTGTTAATTGTGCTCGACACTTGGCTATGCTATTTTTATTATTTTATTATGATGATTCATTCCCTCTGTCATTTGCCAGGGCAGTCTCTTGGCGGCTTACAACCAAGTTTAAAAACACACATCGTAACAACATCAAAACAGGAAAGTTCTCAAAAATGTAACTCGGATGTGTCACCGGCAGTTCAAAAGCATCACCGACATGGGAGCAAAACAACCCATTTGTCATATTCCATCAAGTGTCTGTGAGAAAATGACCATGTTAACCTGGTGCCAAAAAGCTAATCATATCGGTGGCCTCACTAAGGGAGCGTTTCATAGGACACCCCCCCCCCAATCTCAGGGCGGTGTCAAGAACCAGGCCTTCTCAGTGGTGGCTCCCTGTGGTGGAATGCTCTCCTAGAGAGGCCCATCTGGTACCATCAATATCAGCTTTTCAGCATCAAAACAAAACCAGTTTTATTTACCCAAACTTTTTCTTTGCAGGGGGAGTACATTTGTAGCCTGTTCTTCTGCTCATCTTACTAGTGGGGTGAGTTAATTTTACCCTTTTATACATAAGGTGGGTGAGCATTTCAGGTTGCTTTCTGTGCTTTTTTTCAATGTTTGTTTCTCTAAGGCGCTTTGAGTCGCATAAGTGGGGAAAAGTGACTAATATGTATAATAATAACAGGCAGGGGACCACAAGCAAAAGGTCTACTCCCTTCATAGATTCACAGAACTGTAGAGTTGGAAAGGATCTCCAGAGCCTTGCAATGTGATACAACAACAACAACAACAACAACAACAATTTATTACTTAAACCCCACCCATCTGGCCGGGCCTCCCCAGCCACTCTGGGCGGCTTCCAACAGGATATTAAAAACACAATAAAACATCAAACACTAAAAACTTCCCTAAACAGGGCTACCTTCAGATGTCTTCTAAAAGTCAGATAGTTGTTTATTTCCTTGACATCTGGTGGGAGGGCGTTCCACAGGGTGGACACCACCACTAGGAAGGCCCTCTGCCTGGTTCCCTGTAACCTCACTTCTCGCAGTGAGGGAACTGCCAGAAGGTCCTCGGAGCTGGATCTCAGTGTCCGGGCTGAACAATGGGGGTGGAGACTCAGGTATACTAGGCTGAGGCTGTTTAGGGCTTTGAAGGTCAACGCCAACATTTTGAAATGCAGGAATCTCAACTAGATCAGGTGGTCATCCATCCTCTGCTTGAAAACCTCCACGACAGCTCGCAACCTCCCAAGGGAGTCTGTTCTCACACATAGAACCTCTGGGGAAAGGTCTCAGATGACAGATCTTAGGGTTCATGTCACAGAATCACAGCACTGTAGAGTTGGAAGGGACCCGAGGGTCATCTAGTCCAACCCCCTGCGATGCAGGGATCCATGACAATTGGCCATCTAGCCTCTGCTTAAAAACCTCCAATGAAAGAGATATTCTTTTATCAATCAAGGCTGCAGCATCGTTTCCAGATATCGAAACCTCCAGGTGGATTTCAAAGTTAAAACCACCCAGGAGTAGACATAAAGAGAGCACAAATGATAAAGGCATCTGGGACATCTAGCTAAATAACCTCTATAGAAGTTTGCCCTTGCTGTAATAAATGCAACTTTTCTGCTCTTGCCTAAATTTTAGAGCAAAAACTTCTCTCTCTCTCTTTCTGCAAAGAGAGCAATACTTTGTTCGTTGCCCTCAGCTACTTTCATGGAAATTTTGCCGCAGTGCTACAGCTTGGTGAATTCACAACAAGCAGCTTCCTTTCCAAAGCCGTGCGGAAACTACAAAAATTGCTTCGTAGCCTCAGGCTCCCCACTGAAAGCTACCTGGGAGAAATGTGCGGTCGCTGGATGGGTGTGAATGGCATTACGGCAGGTACAAGATGGCAAACGTGTGTCCGTGTTTGTGAATGGCACTTGCCTTGCACACCATTTTATAATTTATTAAAGGAGTTTATTTTATGGACTTTCTCCATTCCATCTGCGATAAGTTAGCATTTCATTCAGATTCAACTGCACAAAATACCTGGGAACAACTGTTTATATACATTGTATTCCTGAATCACCTGGGGTGCATTAAAATGTGGGGATTATTGTATTCGTTTTCCTGATTAACAGGCTAGCATTTCTCTCCCAGATTCCAACATTCCTTTTACAGTGGTACCTCGGGTTACATACACTTCAGGTTACATACACTTCAGGTTACAGACTCCGCTAACCCAGAAATAGTACCTCTGGTTAAGAACTTTGCTTCACGATGTGAACAGAACGGCGCGGCAGCAGCAGGAGGCCCCATTCAGTAAAGTGGTGCTTCAGGTTAAGAACAGTTTCAGGTTAAGAATGGACCTCCGGAACGAATTAAGTACTTAACCCGAGGTGCCATTGTACACCGAATTACAAGTTGCATTACAGAACTGTGGCTTTTTGACCAATATAAATGTTGTGCTAAAGTTTAAACGGCAGGCAAGAACTGTACGCCGAAATACCATCCCTTTTCGTCGCATGAAATTACAAGGCAAAACTCCCACGATTTTCCAGCTCAGCGAGTTTGCAAATTTATTATTAATGTTTTTATTTATTATTATGATTATGAAAGCAGATAACAAGGAAATGAGCATTAAACTAGATTCCATTAGCTTTTCATAATTGGCTTTCATGCCGTGTGAAAGATCACATAAAACATGGAAGTTACCAGGTAAATGGAACGCAGTGTTGTCTGAAAGCAGCCTTGGAAATTGCACAACCTAATCCAAATCCAAGGTCCACTGGGACGAGAGACTTTGGATTCAGTGGATCTTGGGCTTTCCCAGATAAGCTGAACCCCCTCACACTAAGGGGCCAATACGTGGGTGGTATCTGGCCGAAACTCTTCCTCAAGTTCACTGCTTCTGCAAACATTCTCAGAAAGACTTCCTTCCAACAGCTCTCACTGCAACCACCTCCTCGCCCACTTCACAGCTGGAAACTGTCTTACGATAAGTCAAACCATTGGTCCAGAATTGTCTACACCAGTGTTTCTCAAACCTGGGTCCCCAGCTGCTGTTGGGACTACAACTCCCATCATCCCTAGCTAGTAAGAACAGTGGTCAGGGACTATGGGAGTTGTAGTCCAACAATAGCAGGAGACCAGAAACACTAAATCTACACTGTCTGGCAGCGGCTCTTAAGGGCTCCAGTTTCTCTACCTGGAGATGCTGGGAACTGAACCTGGGACCGTCTGCATGCAAGGCAAATGTTCTACCACTGAACTACAGCCCTTCGCCTCCCTTCCTCTCATACTTTAGCAGCCAGTATTTCACATTTCCCAGGTAAGTCACTGGGTAGCCCCGTGTGACATTTCTTTGCCATTCCTCCTGTTACAATGCTACAATTCTTGAAAGAAAAAAAGCTATGCTCAGCCCAGCTAGATGGGGGTAATGTCAAATATCTTCCCTCTGAGTTAGCTCATCAGCCTCTGCAACTAGCGACTTTGCAAGGTGGGAGCAGGCAACGTCTTTCAAAATGAGCAGCATTCCGTCCGCCTGCTGCACTCTCTTGAGTCACCAAGGGCAGAGATACAAAGGAAACAGGAAGGCTGGAAGGAAGACTCACAACCTAAAGGTGTAGAGATCTTTTCATGCTGCACGTGCTTCAAATTCCTATTCTGACCATAATTACAGGTTATTTATATATGACCAACAACCTCAAACAGTAACAGTGGTGCAAACAGTCAACTGTTTGACTGTTTCAAGATTCCACCAATGGAAAATACGGAGAAGCAAGACCTGCAATAAACTGGTCAGTGTGGAGTGTCCCTGTTCAGGGTTCCAGTAAGCCAGGCACACCCCATTCTGTCTCCTCGCCCTCAACCCAGAATTCCGTTCTCTGCCACCTCTCATTCAGCGCTGTGTGACCAATGAGCACACTCAATACTCACGGGACAGCTTAGGTTCTTCAGTCCTGCCTTAATTTTCTGGTTCCTGTCCTTCTTCTAAAGCTCTTTGCATTTTTGCAATCCTCAGGCTTCCCCCAAACTTGCTATAACACCTACCCCTTGTGCATGCATAATTTTAGCTACAGACCCAGAGAGAGAGGAATGATTTCACCGTTTGTGTACCCCGGCCTTTCCCAACTTGGCACCTTCCAGATGTTGCTCAACTCCAACTCCCATCATGCCTGAGCTATGGGATTAGGAGTCAGAAGAGCACCAACTTGGGGAAGATTGAGCTAGGAGATTATTCATTGTCTCGTTGCCCCTCTTTCTACCATGTGGCATTTGCTACACAGCCCTTTGGCTCTACGTCAAGGGGGTGAGCAATAACCATACGAGTAAAAATAGGGATGGGTAAATTTGTCGCTTGCCAATTTAATGTGGACATATTTTTTTCGCATGAAGAGTGAACAAACAAGCCATTAAAGATACCAGGAAGAGTGAGCAGAATGGCAGAGGTTCAATTTTAATGTTGCTTGTTTAATGTGATAGTGACAGATGGCACCAGAGTTATATATAGTCCTGTTCCTGTCTATTGGTAAGGAATTTCTGGGGTTCCTCCTCTGCATACCATAGGATCCTTGCCCGGCTAGGGTGCAGTCTTGGCAGAAGTTGACAGGACAAAGGTGAAGCTTGATTCAGTAATGGAAAAGAAAATGCGGTGTTACAGGTTGGGGTAGCAGAAGTAATGGTGAGCTGCCAACCCTATGTTCACCATTGCTTCTGGGTTTATTTGGATAGCCTAACTATGGTTGTCTATGCTGTGGTAACCTCAAGGTTAGATTACTGCAATGCATTATGCATGGGGCTGCCTCTGAAGACGGTTCGGAAACTTCAGATGGTGCAGAATTCAGTGGCCAGGTGGCTCACCGCAGCAAGACGGTTTGAGCATATTACACCGATATTACATATTACCTATTACATATTACACCGATCCTGGTCCGACTGCACTGGCTACCAATTCAAAGTGCTGGTTTTGACCTACAAAGCCTTAAATGGCTCAGGACTGCAATACCTCAAGGACCGCCTCTTTCCATATGAACCTACCCAGACCTTGAGATCCCCTTCTGAGGCCCTTCTTCGTGTGCCTCCTCCTCGAGAGGTTCGGAGAGCGGCAACACGAGAAAGGGCCTTCTCTGCAGTGGCTCCCCATCTGTGGAAGGCTCTCCCCAGGAAGGTTCACCTGGTGCCTTCACTATACACCTTTAGGCACCAGGCAGAAACATTCCTTTTTAACCAGGCCTTTGGTCGAACTGATTTACATCCTGTGCCCTTTTAAAATGTGTTCTGGGGAGGGGGGCTATTGGGTTGTTGTTTTTATTTTTATTAGGTATTTTGTGGTTTTATATCTTGATTTTATTCTGTGAACCGCCCTGAGACTCCCCCGGGTATAGGGCGGTACAGTCATACCTCGGGATAAATATGCTTCAGGATAAGTATTTTCGGGTTGTGCTCCTGAGAGCCAGTGTGGTGTGGTGGTTAAGAGCGGTGGACTCGTAATCTGGGGAACCGAGTTCGTGTCCCCGCTCCTTCACATGCAGCTGCTGGGTGACCTTGGGCCAGTCACACTTCTCTGAAGTCTCTCAGCCCCACTCACCTCACAGAGTGTTTCTTGTGGGGGAGGAAGGGAAAGGAGAATGTTAGCCGCTTTGAGACTCCTTAGGGTAGTGATAAAGCGGGATAGTAAAGGTAAAGGTACCCCTGCCCGTATGGGCCAGTCGTGACCAACTCTAGGGTTGCGCGCTCATCTCGCTCAAGAGGCCGGGAGCCGGCGCCGTCCAAAGACACTTCCGAGTCACGTGGCCAGCATGACGAAGCTGCAACTGGCGAGCCAGCACCAGTGCCACACACGGAAACGCCGTTTACCTTCCTGCTATAAAGCGGTACCTATTTATCTACTTGCACTTAGGGGTGCTTTCGAACTGCTAGGTGGGCAGGAGCTGGGACCGAACGACGGGAGCTCACCCCGCCGCGGGGATTCGAACCGCCGACCTTACGATCAGCAAGTCCTAGGCACTGAGGTTTTACCCACAGCGCCATCTGCGTCCCTTATAAAGCGGGATATCAAATCCAAACTCGTCTTCTTCATCTTCTTCTTCTTCTTCCTGGTAGGGCTGGGAGAAAGCCCTTCATAAAATTGCGAAGAGCTGATGCTGGTTTATGTCGACATCACCAAGCTGGATGGAACAATGCTCTTGACGTAGCATAAGGCACCTTACTATGTTCCCAGTAATTTTTCTTCCAGGGGAAGGAAACCTGACACTCACATGACAGGTTGAGGCAGGTGAGCACAGGTCAAAGGCCTGCAGGTGACGCTGCCCTAAAAGAAGGCTCTTGAACAGCAGGCATTCGTACCTAAAATATTGTCTCACCAAGTATACACTGATGACTGCACTTGACAGGAGATAGTCTCCTATAGATACCATCTTATCAGGAAGTCTGTCCTGCACATTACAGAAATCAGGCCTTTAGTATCATTGAACCTACCCCTGGGAATTCCCTCCGGTTAAATATTAGACAGGCACCGTCTCTCTGTTGTCTTTTCAACACCTGCTGAAGACCTTTCTCTTTCAAAAAGGCTTTTAGATAAAGATGTATCCTAGTCTGAATCTGCATCAGAATCGCTTCTAGATTTAATGCTGCATTGCTTGCGCATTTGCCACCCTGGGGAGGAAGAGTGGAATATAAATTTAATTAATTAACAACAACCACTAGCTCCCTATTCAGAGAGGGCTGCGAATTGCAACTCACTGAGCCAGGGTGCAATTCAGAGATCATACTTCTGTCACTAATAATGTCTACGGAAGGGCAAAGTTACAACAAGCATGCCTTCCACCCCAGATCCCGCTGCTCTCTCTCAAGTGTTTGTGGGCAAAATTGCAAAACTGGCTTGCTTTACCAGTCAACCTGATGATGGAAGAAAGGGATGAGTGGCAAATTCTTGGAAAAGATGGGCACAGTGGCACAGCAAAAACTCATTCTCCTATTGCTTGTGCATTGCTAAATGCAAAGCGTGACCTCCAGGTTGCAACCAGGCAACAAAGTTCTTGTTGTTGTTGGATTTATTTAATTAATGATTCCATTTATATCCCACCTTTTCTCCAAGGAGCTCAAGGTAGCATACATGATTCTTCCCCCCCCCCCAATAAATCTCCACAACAACCCTGGGAGGTAGGTTAGGCTGAGAGGTGATGACTGACCCAAAGTCACACAGTGAGTTTCATGACCAAGCCGGGATTTGAACCCTGGCCTCCCGGGTCCTGGTCCAACACTCTAACCACTACACCACACTGGCTCTCCTAACTGTTCAATAGTTTATTCTTCTATTCTGCTGACCAGCTGAAGCTGAACTTGCAAGCAGCAACCGAATGAAACACTATTATCTTTGTTTCTTGATTCAGAGTCCTTCGGGAAGCCTGAACTTTTCTCCAGAAGTCCTTTCAACCTTTCCCTTTTCACACTAGTAATCTGTAGTAGCAGGTAGCATTGTGAGCCACTGCTGCTCACCTGACCTCCGACCATTGGAGCTGCTTACCAGGAGGCAGAGCAGGAGGGGGGACAGTAGGGAGGTACAAATAATAATAATATAATTATATAATGTAATAATTTATTATTTATACCCCGCCCATCTGTCTGGGTTTCCCCAGCCACTCTGGGCGGCTTTCAACAGAATATTAAAATGCAATAATCTATTAAACATTAAAAGCTTTCCAATGGAGCCAATCTGCTGTATCCACCGGTTTGTTTGTAAAGCTTCAACCTTGCCACCACCTTCCCTCTGCCTCCTAATAACCAGCAGCGATGCAACTGACCAGAGGGTCAGGTGATCTGCGGCACCCCATCACGCCTTCTGTTAATGCTTAGCTGGTGTCTGCTGCCCTCAATGGCTGCTACATCCTTGTCTCCTCTCCTCCTCAAATCAACCTTCTTAAGAACAACGCTGTCGTACCACAGCCAGTCAAGATTTGGCTGCATGACAGCTTCACTGTGGGTAAAGGAAGCTAATTCATCCTAAAGGTGTGTTAGGCTTCCATGTGACAACACTTTTGCTCCCTTTTGCACTTCTCAAAAAAACAAAAAACAAAAAAAAAACCCAACCAAAACCAACCCAAAGTATGTGTGTGGTGGTGGAGAATGTTTTTCCCTAGGGGAGAAAATGTTCACAAAAAGCACACAGATGCCCACTCAATGCCTCAAGAGGTTTCGGTCAAACAAATATTTCAAAACAATGCCTCCTTCTTCCAGTTTGATGAACAGACGTTATTTGCAGTGTTTACTTCCCGCACTCCTACGAAGAGCTTGCCAGGATAGAGTGCTCATCAGACAAAGATTGGGTGGGAGTCAAAAATGAGGAAAAATAAAAGCCAGCTTCCTCAAGAGGTATCCAACTTTTGCTCCCCTGCCCTGCTCTCCTGTGATAATCAGGATATTGTTCCAGTGTGGTTTATCTGCAAGGCCATAAAGATCTTTTAGCGCACTGGTAAACAAACTAGGTCAGGCATCCCACCTGGGCAGCAGACATGGGCCACAGATTATTTGAAGAGCCTGTGCACATAGCAAAATATACATGCAAGTATGGAAATGGCCTTCAGGGGTAGATCTTGCTCTGTGTGGATCCGTTTTAATTTGTAAGTTTGGCCTTGCAAATAAGATCGCAAAAGTTACTAGCCTGCTAGGGCCTGGCAGAGGAGGGATGGAGAGCTACCAGTTGCATTTCTATGCTGTGAGGCGAAGCGGGGATTTACTTCTTTGGCTGCCGGCTCAGTTTCCTCTGCTGGACAAAATGGAAAGGCAGCAATATTTCACCAGCCTCTACCAGTCCACCTGCAGGGAATTCCATGCACTCACCAGTATGCAATTCCTGGTCACTTACAGCTGCAGAGTGAGTGCTTAATACAAGGCTGTGATAGTTAAGGCATTGATGCTTCTCAGAGCAGTTAGTTAAAACAGCCTTCTGTGTCCCAGAGCCCTCCCGCCTCAATTTCTCAGCTTTGGGTAGGAAGAAGGAGGGCTCCAGGACCCTGCCAGAACCTCGTGCCTCCTTTCCAAAGCATGGAGCCTTGCTTTGGACAGGCAGAGCAAGGGCTGGTGGGTGGGTATCAAACTTTGGCCTTGCTCCCCACCCCTATGCAACAAGGTAGTATGTGGCCCGTGGGTTTCGGGTCAAAGTACCCTTACAGCCCACTTGGTATGAAAAGTTGGACCACCCTGAGAGAATACTGAGCTCGATAGACAAAAGATCTGACTCAATATGAGGAATGTTCCTATGCTGTGTAAAAGCTAATACAGTCTTGTTTTAAAACACTAGCTTGGTAGCCATAGGTAACCTAGAGGGAGTGAGATTGCTACAGCAGGCTCTTTCTGCAGGCTGATATTATATCTCTTTTTTTGCAGGTTGTTATCCTTTCTGGACTTCTTTATGAAACTGGAAGTGGGATAAGCACATCAGATGGGGAATTCCTTGCTTAAAATTTGCTGAACTTGCTTGGCAGCCTTAGTTCTCTCTCCCTTGGCCTCCACCCATAAACTGCAAAGTTGGAATAGTAACACTGGTGCATTTTAGAGCAACGTTTGCCAACCCAGCGCCCTCCAGGTGTTTTAGGCCACAACTCCCATCAGCCCTAACTGCCGGCTGTGCTGGCTGGTGCTCATGGGAGTCGTAGTTCAAGATGTTCGCAGGGCCCTTAGTGGGTGAAGGCTGCCTTAAGGGGCTGTTGTAAAAGATTGCTGGGATAATGTCCGTGATGCACTTTGTATGGCCTCCAAACCAGAGCACTGTTGTCCCAAGTCACATGATTCAGTGACATTGCTGAAGCCAAGCAGGTCTGGGTTTGGTCTGCTTTGAGTTCCATCATGGAAGGCAGGGTGTAGATATATAAATGCTAAATATCTTTTGTGACAAAAAAGGATTGGAATGCCTGGAGGAATGAACAACTTAGGCACCAGAAAGTCTTCCCCATTCCACAGCCGTGAAAAGTGTGCGATTTTAAGGGTATGGTTTTAGAACTGCCTAGCACAAACCTAGGTATCTGAACACACTTCATTCCTCTGGAAGTGTGTGGCCAGCAGGAAGGAAGAAACAACTTAGATATTTCCCAACAATGCCACAATCATTGCAGGGCTTCCTTGCACAACATTTACTCTGGCAATTTAAAAATTTGGACCGCAGCCTACAAGTCTTCCATCTGCCATCTGCCATCTGCTGGGAAACTGGCCTCGTAGTGTAAGTTAAGATAGAACACATCATACCACTGACCCTGAGCTGTTTCATATGTAATGCTAAGCCAAACCATGGTTTAGCGTGAACAGGTGACGTGAGGGGTCCTAAAGCAGAGATTGTGGCTGCTGAGAGCTAAGCCATGGTTTGGCTTAGGGTGTGGTCCGAACGTGAGTTCATGGTGTGTCTGACCCAAAACAAACATAGATTACAGCTAATGGTATCCCTGTAGTAAGACAAACCACAAGCCTAAATTTTGACAACACACTATCAGTAACACATCTAGTTTTCTATGCTGAGGGCTCCTTTCTGTCATGCGGGTCTTCCTGCAATGCAGATAATTATTTGCAACTCAGACTGTGGTTCTATTCCATTACCTGGGAGCAAGCTCTACTCAACTCAGTGGAACGTAAGACAATGTCTAAGATTGCACAGTTGGTATGAACTTATTTTCCCTCTTGTAGCATCAACAGAAAAAGAAGGAGGGGAGAACAGAGACTGTTTATCAAAGTTTCTGAATTTCTCATTTTCTGGAAGGTCAGGTTGTTCGTTGCTCAAGCAAACTTCATAATTAATGGCTTTTGGCTTCCTCTGTTTACTTCTGGGTTTTTCTTTTAAGTTGCCTGTTCCTCAACACACAAAGACCAGAAGCAGAGAGATAAAAGAGCTTTTAAGGTACGGGTCAGTTGACTTCACACATTTCTTTCCCCCTATACAGACCTGAAGGGAGCCATTGCATCATGATATGCAGAAAGTGTGCAAGGAACTGCATTACCAGGTACACACTCATTCAGCACCCACTTTGGCCTGTCTTGCTGTAAACCAGCCTTCACCAACGTAGTGCCCTTGAGACTGTTGGATTACAACTCCTCTCAGCACCCAGACAGCACAGCCAAGTTTAGTAATAGCCACCAAATGTGGAGCAGGAAACCTAAGTCAAACTGGGGTTTGTGATTATGCTTTAGAGGCAAACTATGGTTATCAATAACCGCAGTTTCCCAGATTTAAACATCATGGCCAACTATGGTTATGATGACCCAGGAAGTACAGGAAAGAACTGGATTATGTAAGGGAGAAGGCAAGAATGGAGGGGCATGCAAGCAACAGATATTTTCCCAGGGGCCAAACCTTGGTTGGGCAGGTGGTATCTGAACTGAGGGAGTACGTGTTGGATTGTTTGCTCTGAGTTAGGCGCAACAACTTCTTATGTAAGTCAATCCTGATCTAAAGGCTAGGAAGGCAACAGTTTGGCTGGAATAAAGAGAGACTCTTCCAGGGCTTCCAAAGCTCAGGTAATGCTTTTGGCACTTTCAAATCCTTTGAAGCAAGAGACTTCCTTGTGATCACTGCAGTTGATACCAGCTTGACAAAACATAATGATGCGTGTCACAAACAACTGTGTGTTAGATAAATTAATGAAGACAATTCTGGCAGCAATCCGGTAAAGTATAATGTGTCAACGTTAAATATAGTGCAGTTACAAAATTTTCAGGACTGTGCTGCTCAGAATTGTAACGAACACAGTTTGAGTCCATTCCCTGCAATTCCTAACATTTAAATAATTTTTTTTTCAGAATTGTAATATTAGATTTTATGTTTTTGTAAACCACTTAGACAAATTCTTACCACTCAAACAATATCTAACTGCTGCTAAATGAAACCTAAAATGCTTTTCTTCATTTTAAAAATGCCACAGTTTCTTGGTGATCTGCTCCCTCTCTCTCTCTCTCTCAGTCATGCTACAGAATGATATGCCCTGGGACTATACCATGTTTTACTGCAGAGATGCAAAACCTGTGACTCTCAAGGTTTTGCTAGAACACCTCTCCCATGACCAATAGTCACGATCACTAGGGATGATGGGTGTTGTAGCCCAATAACATCTGAAAGAACTCAGGTAAGCCACCCCAGCTAAGCATGCTGAAACTGCTCATCATGACTGAAGAACAAGATTCCAACCAAAACTTTGCCTCTTTAAAAGTTCTCAAAACACCAGTCAGTGTAGGGAATTAAAGCTGATTTCAGGAACCAGAGTAGTGTTGAAAGGTTCAGATGTGTTCTAGTTGCTGCTGCAACTTC